GATACATTAAAAGAAATAATGAGTTTACACAATGGGAAGTTGTATTCTCACTTTGTTCTTCAATAATCATTCCATTCCCACATATTATGCTTATGTCAGAGAACACTTTCAAAGAGGGACCTATATTGGATAGTACCCAATGAGCAGAATAGGAATGAATTCAAAATTATTTACAAAAAGGAATGGAGAAAATTGAAAATTAAACCTGGAGGTACCAGAAGACCTAAAGATAAAAGCAGAAACAACAACAACAAATGACCACAAGGAGGAGCCAGAGGATGAATATAGGAAAGAATTTATTTTTGAAATGTATCAACAGACTCATCCAATGAGGGTAATAAAATATCCTGTTTAAAATAAAGGACTATGAAGACAGACTGATTGATTCAAATCCTGGATCAACATTTACTTGTCCAGTGACTTTTGGCAAGTCACTTAACCTCTGTGCTTTATTTTTCTTTTTAGTAAAACTGGCATAAGTATAACGCCTACCACAAAGGCAATTAATACAAGCATATAGAAGCAATAATAAATGGTATCATTGTTATTATATCAGAATTAAGCATAAATTATTTGGATGCTCTTAAAAGTGGAAGATTTTGCACAGCAAAGGAAACCATTGACAAAATGAAAAGACAGCCTACTGAATGGGAGAAAATATTTGCAAAATATTGATGATGATAAGGGTTAATGTCCAAACTATATAAAGAGCTCACACAACTCAATATGGAAAAAACAAACAATCTGATTAAAAAATTGGCAGAAGACCTGAATAAACATTTTCCCAAAGAAGATACACAGATGGCCAACAGGCACATGAAAAGATGCTCAACATCACTCAGCATCAGAGAAATGCAAATCAAAACCACAATGAGATATCACCTCACATCTGTCAGAATGGCTATCATCGAAGAGACCACAAATAACAAATATTGGCAAGGATGTGCAGAAAAGGGAATCCTCCTACACTGTTGGTAGGAATGTAAATTGGTGTGGTCACTACGGAAAACAGTACAGATGTTCCTCAAAAAACTAAAAATAGAACTACCATATGATCCAACAATTCCACTCTTGGGTATATATCTGAAGAAAACAAAAACACTGATTTGAAAAGATACAGAACCCCAATGTTCATAGCAGCACTATTTACAATACCCAAGATATAGAAGCAACCTAAGTGTCCATCAACAGATGAATGGATAAAGGAGATGTGGTACATATATTCAGTAGAATATTACTCAGCCATAAAAAAAGAATGAAATTCTGCCATTTGCAACAATATGGATGGACCTGGAGAGTATTATGTTTAGTGAAATAAATCAAAGACAAATATCACATGATATCACTTGTATGTGGAATCTAAAAGTTAAAATGAATGTGTATAACAAAACAGAAACACACTCACAGATATAGAGAAGAAATTAGTGGTTACCAGTGGGCGGGGGAGGGGCAAGATAGGGATATTGGATTAAGAGATACAAACTGCTATGTATAAAATTAGTAAGCAACAAGGATATGTTGTACAGCACAGGAAAATATAGCCATTATTTTGTAGTAACTTTCAATGAAATGTAATCTATAAAAACATTGAATCACTATTTTGTACACTTGAAAAATAATATAATATTGTAAATCAACTATACTTCAATTTTTTTTTTTTTTTTGCGGTGTGTGGACCTCTCACCGTTGCGGCCTCTCCCGTTGCGGAGCACAGGCTCCGGACGCGCAGGCTCAGCGGCCATGGCTCACGGGCCCAGCCACTCTGCGGCATGCGGGATCCTCCCGGACCGGGGCACGAACCCGTGTCCCCTGCGTCGGCAGGCGGACTCTCAATCACTGCGCCACCAGGGAAGCCCAACTATACTTTAATTTTAAAAAATGGAAGAAAACTGCAATTCTCCACCCCCTTCTAGTAAAGGTTAAAGAAACCAGTTCAAATGAGCACAAACAGGGCTGCTCCAAGCCCCACCAATAAAGCTCTACTGTATGACTTTTTTCATAGCATTTATGATGATCTGAAATTGTCTTGCTCTTTTCTTTCTTTTCTTCTTTGCTATCTGTGTTCACTGCTCTCCACTAGAACATAAGCTCAATAAGAGCACAACTCTTGTGTGTTTCATTCACCACCTGATCCCCAGAAAATAGGATAGTGCTTGGGACATACACAGTGATCAATAGATATATGTTCAAATAACTGATTGGTTAATTGTCCCTGAACTGTAAGTTTTACAGTGATTTTAATAGGACACCTTGTATCCCAATATACTGTGATGTGAATACTCAGGTCAAATATGCTTGATCAGTTCACGTTCCTTGATCACAGCATACTCATTCCAACTTCCCTAACTTTGTTTCAGATGCGTGCCCTCCCTGATAAATATTCCCCTTTCCTCTCTCTTCTTATGCAATCTTTGCCTTTCTGTCAAATCTTAAGTCTTATCTAGTCCATTTGAATATTATTTGACTTTCTTACTTACAGGGATTTTGTATGCACATGCATGATAAACGTCTCAGTGTTGTGAATGTGGTCTAACAATTTTCCCCTTCATTTTATCTACTCTTTTGTAACCAAAAGCTCTGCCACAGTTGTTGTCTGATAGTTATACATTTAGTTTATTCACTTTTAATAAAGCTCATTCCACTTTTCAGTCCACAGCTTTAAGCTTTCTGAAAATGAAAATATTAATTAGGCATTTTTTCCATGACAGAAAATTCTAGCCTTTCCCAAAGATAAACAGTATTTGATATGTGTGTAGAAGGCTAGAAAGTCAGAAGTGAACCAACAATTTGAATTCAGAGAACTGAGAGAGGGAACAGGATATCACTGATAAATGCACCTAAGGGTTAGCTTTAAGGTGATGTACAGTAAAAGGTCTATAAAAAGATATCGCTAACTGCAAAATGTTGACGTCCTTTATATTTTTTTCAGTTTAGAGACATTATTATAACACTCATACTAGTCAACATCATTTTCTTTTTGTCTTTCTTTTTTACACGTCCTCTAGCCATCATTATATATTGATCAGTCTTATCCACCGTGCTATGCATTTCACTAATTTCCTTTGTTTTTGTATCTATACCTTGTCATTGTGATCCTAGTGTCTTTTACTGGTTCTTCGGCTATAAATATAGAAAACGGAGTCTGGATAATACCTAAATTTGAAAGACATCATAGTACAGTGGAAGGAACTTGGAAACTGGGTAGATGGTGAGGCTTCTTGCAAAAAGCATGATCATAGAAAATTCCCAAGATTCCCTAAATTGCTTTCTGCATGTGTAATATTCCAATAAGTGCCCATTTTACATATACTCATTCATTCATTCCTTCACCAAATTTCTACTGGGTGGTAACTGTATGTCAGTCACTGTTTTAGAGCGATGGAATACACTCCTGTGAGTATACATGACAAAAATGTTATATATATATATGTACACACACACACACACACACACACACACACACACCCTCACATATATGCAATGGAAAAGAGTGAAACAAGAAAGAGGGACAAAAATGTGGCCTGGGGTGGGGTGGAGTGGAAAGTTGTTCTAAATACTAAGAGGCAAAGGTTAAGTACCTAAAGTCTAAGACTCCGTGCTCCATAAGGACTAGTGCCATGACTTCTCCATGAATACTTGCTATTAATTTCAGTGTCTGACACATAATTAAATTAATGAGATATTTGCTTTAAAATAAAAGGGATAACTTATGTAACACTCAACCTCTACAATATTAAACAGAGGTTTTTATTCCAAATTCAAACTCATCAGGATATTTGGAATAAAGACTTCTTCAGCTATATTTCCCTGAGCCAAGAAAAGAGGGAGCGATAAAATACGCAAGTAGAAATAAAACGTCAGTGATAGGCCTGATAGGGTGATTGAGAGATAGCTGGAAAAGCCTCTGGATTTCAGAAAAGAGAAAAGAAAACTGTGTTGTATCTATCGTTTTCTCCTGCAGTTCTCTGCTTAATTTTTGCTGAGTAACTCAGCTTGTATTTATGGGGTAGGTGGAGAGAGGAAGCAGAATTAAGACTCGTGTTATCAGGACCTCCTTTGACCCTGACAGCCTCTGTACTTACCCAGCATATTTCTAACACCACAAAGTCACGCTTGATGGATACAAATAAAGGCAAATATACTTTTATGAAGCATAGATCCAGCCACAAGACACTCAGCTTATGGTTAAAGTTATCAAAGATCCAAAAGCCATTCCTGGAAATTTACTTTAAAGTGAAAACATGACTGAAAGGCAATACATCAAGACATTAACTTTGTATTACTTCACTTTATTAGATTGTTTTCCTTTGATGCCTAAACCTAAGCAATATAAATCCTGCCTCATGTGGAGTTCTCAACTTTTTTAAAACTTTGATTTGCAGGGACTAAAGAGTATAATATAATTTGAATATCCTTGACTCATTACTTAAAATATCAGCTTGTTCAGTTTTTCAACTTAATGCAATCAAATAAATGGATGGATGAATTACTCTAAAAAAAAAAACCCTTTGATTTGCAAAACATGCAAGAATTTGGATGAATTTTAGGTCATAATTAGAGCTTCTAACACAAGACCATGAAACATCTAATATAGCTCATCTTAGATCAAATTATATTAGACTCTTACACCACAATGAGATAGACTCTATATCTGTTGATGTGTTATCCGTGAGTTTTCATCAGAAATAAGTTCATTTAAATAACATGATTTAGACTCTGCCAAGGTTACGATGAAGCATGAACTTCTGTTCTTTGAAAGGATATACACGATGGAACCGTCAGAGTGGAAGTTAAGGAAACAGGAAACAAATGCCATATCTACTCGTTTACCACAAGTTATTATTTTTGTGTTTTGGTGCTCAAGGTCCATGTATATCTGAGCAGCTATTAAAGGGCTTCCTGGAAAGAAACAAAAAACAAAAAATCATGTGCCCCAACTCATACGTCTCCACCTTACCAGAGAGAGGAGGGTCACAGACGGGTAGACATTGAAATCATAAGGGTGGACACTACATTTTGCAAAGTCATTGAATGCTGAGTTCACTTTCATTCCAAGGGAAGCCATGCAGGATGAAGATGGATACGTCACCTTAAATATTAAAACTCAAAAACCAGCTCTCACTTCAGGTAAGAATGCCCAAGAGGCAGCAATTTGGAAATTAACTGTTGAAAGGGATCCACCCTAGTTTCCTTTTTTCTACTAGTGATAGCATACGTAGTGTTGTTTTATTTTCCTGAATGACCTTCTTTCCCTACATCATTTGAGTGGTATGTACATGGGCTACATATGTTATTTAGAATATAAACAACAAATGATACAAGCAGGGCACATTACATTAAGGCTTATAGGTTTAAATGCTGGAGGGAATAGAAATCTAAGGGATAAGAGGAGAAAATGTTTGAAAACTCCACTTTCTAAGATGTCAGCAAGTGGGTGTGATTCCACAGTTGTGGCTTATAAACACCATTATTTAGAGGAGTGAGCACAAAATAAAACAAAGACAAACACAAACACAGAAGACCTTAGCTGCTAGTTACATTTTGACTCAGAGAGAAGTCCGGTGGGAGTGGGATGGAGTGGGTTGTGTTTACTGCTGGTGATTACCAAGGGAGCAAAGGCAAGATGGGCCTGAGAAGCTGTTTATATCACTTGGATAATCCTGAGAGGGCAGGGGATGGGGGTGAAGCTGTCCCCCAAAACGATGCCATACTGCCTGCCGCCTAACATCTTTATTGTATGTCCACAGGTGACCCTGCTTCCTCCTCTTTGTGGCGTGTGATGGCTTTGATTCTGCTGATCTTGAGCATGGGGATAGCTGCTGGGCTGGTGGCTCTGGGGATTATGTGTAAGTATTGACTTAGTGCCAATGACTTGATCTGAGGAAGGCAATACGTAAGTGTCCTGGTGTATGCCGTGAAGCTTAACCGTCACTATCTATTCGTCGCTACTGCAGTTATCCTATACATAGCTGCCAGGATGTTCTCAATAAAGGAGAACTCTGAACTCTACCTTTTGATTAAAATTCCTTTTAGGTTTTTAAAATTAATTAAAAATGATTGTTTAAGAATTTTAAGCTGGTCTTTAAGATCTTCCTCAGTATAGATCCACACTACTTTTTGAAACTTTCTTTTTTTCCTCCCTATTCTGTGCATCTTAAAATCCAGCCAACGTGGAGTTTTCTGTTTCACAAATAAATCCTATGTCCCCCTGCCTGAGATTTTGCTGATTCTGTCCCCGCTTCCTAAAATGTCCTCCTTCCCATTTTTTAAGATGAATGTATTTACTTCCACTGAGACAATTCATATCCCACCTAATTGATAAATATTTTTTCTTCCTATACATCTAAAAGCCCTCCAACGTCACATTATCATTTGTATAATTGTTGCTTGTTTATTTTTTCATAAGATATTTTAGAACTTTTCATCCACTACTTTGATTTACCTGAATATCACAGTACTTCGAGCACAACAAATCAATACTTTTTTGTTTTGTTTTGTTTTGGTTTTTGCCACGCCACAGGGCATGTAGGATCTTAGTTCCCAAACCAGGGATCGAACCCGTGCCCCCTGAAGTGTGATCACGGAGTCTTAACTAGTGGACCACCAGGGAAGTCCTCAATATGTTTTTTTTTTTTTTTTAAGTTTGCGGTACGCGGGGCTCTCACCGCTGTGGCCCCTCCCGCTGCGGAGCACAGGCTCCGGACGCGCAGGCTCAGCGGCCATGGCTCACGGGCCCAGCCGCTCCGCGGCATGTGGGAATCTTCCCGGCCCGGGGCACGAACCCGCGTCCCCTGCATCGGCAGGCGGACTCTCAACCACGGCGCCACCAGGGAAGCCCTCAATATGTATTTTTTAAGTGAATGGATATTCTGGCATTACATAGAAAACATAATAGCAGAGGTCATTCACCTCTGTGAAATGTGCTTAGAAATCTGTGTTCAAGGAAAGGTCAAAACAGCTGCTTTGGGCATGCGATTTGATTACGGCATGTTCTTACTTGTGGTCATCTCCTTCAAATAGTTCACCTATTGTTTTGGAGAACTCTCGGTTGTCATTCTGCCTGGCACAATGTTTTCTTTATAACCCCTTTACCCTGATCCCCTTTCAGCACTCTTTTACTCATAATGTATCTAGTAAACACTTCACAGATTGACAACTCTGCTGAACATAAAGTTCATTGAGAGGACTTTTTTTTTTTTGCATCACTCCTTATTATCCTAATTACAAATTATGATCTAATTTTTACATCTAGCTGTCACGCAGCAAAAGTACCTACAAGCTGAGAACGAACATCTCTCAGGAACTCTGAAACAATTAGCAAGGAAGTTCTGCCAAGATTTACTACAACAATCAGGACAAAAGGAAAGTAAGTATGATTTGCTAGTCTCTTCATCTCCCCTAACTCTGGAGTATTTTTGTGATGCTATCTGTCAGGAATCTTGAGATCTTCAGGAAACATTGAATATGAGGAAAAAGTAAGCCCATCCTTTCAGAATGAAAGGGATCCTATGCTTGGATTCTCCTTAAGGCCATAAATGCAGCCCATGTGACATAAACTGGAGATATTATGGAGACAGTTGCTATGGATTCTTCAGGCACAACTTGACATGGAAAGACAGTAAGAAGTATTGTGCTGATGTAAATGCTACTCTTCTGAAGATCACCAGGGAGGACACGCTGGTAAGAATATTTCTATGTCAAATATTTTGGAGTCATAAGGAGAGAAATCTCAAATGAAACACTTGCCTTTTTTTTTTTTACATTTTTATGTCTTGCAGTTTGTGCTAATCTCAGAACCTTATTAAGCTCAGTAAAAATTACATTTGAGAGTAGAAAGTGCTGAAATAGAACGAATGAAACTTTGAGTTCTGGTCTTACCTCTGCAACAAGAGTTAAGATAATTTCTTGGCTTCCTTAACTCTGTTTATTAATTCAAAACAGGATCTGAAAGGATAAAGAAACTCAATATGATTGGAAAATATAAATATCAGTGTTATCCCAACATTACATGCCTTCTCAGTTTTTGCTAAATTGTTGACACTTTGAACGAACCATGAGGCAAACTCTATCTTTCCATAGGCCCTCCCAGATGTAGTTTGGGGCACAATCTTATTTGCACAACACACAGGATTTCAGTTGAAAATTTTTTATTAAACATGTCTCCTCTTCTATATTTCCCTTTTTGACAGCTTCTAACAAAAGCTCTCTTTTCAAGCAATGTACATTCACATCCACTACTGCACTCTCTCTATATTATTGAATGTAGCTTTGCTTTTTCATAAATCCTGAGGCAAGCCAGGAACCAAGCTTTGGAGTCTCCCTTCTACCCAATAAGAGTTTGTCAAAACATATATTTTTTAAAAGGCAGAAATTATTTATTGTACTTATCCTACAATTTCTAATATAGTAATTATTCACATTTTTGCATATTAAAATAAATGCAAATATAAATTGGAATAGAAGATCAGGATTCAGGCTCTATGCAGACAGAAATTCAATAGAATTCAAATATTCAGGCAAGCCATTTTCTACAGAACTGCTATAGGTAATCAGCAAAATTGACTTGTACCTTACTGAGAGCTGAAGTAACCAGTAGTGGACCGGACATGAGGAAATCAGCCCAGCGATGTTCACGCTCATTTGGGTGTCCTGTTATTCTAACTTGCTGTACCATATACTTTTTTTGTGGCTCAGACTCATAGAGGAGATATTCAGATAAATTAACTTCTTTCAAATCAGGCAAAATAAGAGAGTACCTGCTTTGAAATCTCAATTCTATTACAAAGAGATTAATTGGAGACTAAACAAGTCTTGAATCTTATTACTCTAGGCTGATATCAGGTTGGAGATGAACAACTAAAAGAGGAAGTAATGTAATTTTTGAGAAATAAAAAACAGTTAAATTTCAGGTAGACTGTATCTGTCAGGTCCTATAGTGAAATATACAATATGGATGTACTTTAAAAAAAAACCCATAAATTAACAGAAAGGTGACAGGTAGATCAAGCTTTAAGAACATCTCTTATGGAATGCCATTTTGTGTCTCACATGTCTGCCAAGATGCTCAAGTCATTTTTTATTTGCCAAGAATGTGTCCTCACTTGTTTTTTCCGGGAGGTGTGCGAGTACGTGAACATTTGACCTCTTTTTAATTCTGTTACCCATAGATAGATTGATTGACTGATTTATTCATCCATTAATTCAACAGATATGTGCTGGAACTATTCCAGGACCTGAACCTATGCGTTAATAAAACCTACAAAAATTCCTAAATTCATGGAACTTTATTCCAGTTGGAGCAATAAGCAAAGAACAAAATAAACAAGTATAGTATATAGTATAGTAAATAGTGATAATTTCAAAGTAGGAAAAAGTAGATGCACGTCATTTGTAAATCCCTTTGAGAAAGACATTGTATAACTCTCTTTTACGCAGTCAACTAAAATAAATGAATATTCCTGTATGCAAGATTCTGTAGGCAAGCTAAGCAATGAAACCAAAGCGAGTAGAGCTTAATTCTGGGGAATATAAAGTTTCATCAACAATGTATTTCTTTTCGTTTTCCTTCTCTAGCTGTTTACCACTTATTTCATTTAAGAGCCATATTTGATACTTTATTTGGGATTCTAACCTTCAATTGATGGAAGATAAACACATAGGGATATTAGAATATTATCTATCTTGCTTACAGTTTTCCCTGTATCCTGCAAGTATTTTTATGCAAAAACAAGTGAACTTGGAACAATTCTAAATATCAAATCTAATTAATTAGTATTAATATTGACATATAATCCACTTTTTATGTCCAGCGTCTTATCATGAAGCTTTGCCTTTATGCCGTTACAAGAACTGTAGAAACACTCTGACCATTACATTTACTTGTGTTTGCAATAGCAATACATCAGTAGCAGGACTGGATTAATTCGTTGGGTTGGATTGTCCCGCCAGAAACCCAGTGACGTCTGGATGTGGGAAGACGGCTCAGTTCCCTCCAAAAATTTGTAAGTTATTGGATGCTCAGAATACAAGGCACAACTAGGAATTTTGAGTCCTGAGGTCTTCTACCCTCTTGAGTACAGGTTACTTAAAAGTTGGGAGGTGGCTCTGTGTTTTACTGTGTGTTACATAAGCATTGGCTGAGTCACTTACACCATAATCCTAACAAGAGAGCACTTGTAATAAGATTCTACCTTCCTACTCTCCCATTCCTCTGCTTTTTATCTAAGTCGCAATCCACCTCTATTCCTGATACTTTTTTCCCATTCATTTCTACCCTTAACTTCACCACTGGAACATTTTATGTATGTAGTTTTGTTTTATTTTGTTTTGTTAGCTTGATCTGATTCTCTTCACATATTTTCAGAACAAAATTATCATCCTCATTATTTGATGGTTGAAAGTGATTACTTTGAGGCTTCTTTTGACTTTTCAGTATCATTTTACCTCATCTGTTACCTTAGGGGTATCCAAGAATCAGGCACATTATCAGTCACAAGGTGATTCTAATGTTCATGTCAAAAGGGGGCCCCAGACCTCAGCTAGAAAGAACCAGACCAGAATCGGCCCCAGTTTGAGCTCGTGCCATTTGTCTGTAGCCTTCTACAGACAATCCAGGCAAAGGGACCAATTACATTGCGTTACTTAATATGGTTTTCCAATCTCTAATCACCTTTTGTTAATCTTGTGCAATGTCTCTCCAGTTAAAATTTAAACTTATAACTAAAAATTTATACAATCTGATCATTACTTAAAGTTCTAATTAATTTATTCAACAGGTATTTATTAAGAATTTACTATGGGTAGGAGTCAAGAATATTATGAGTACAAGCAAGCTTCTTCATAGGCCTGGGTTTTATTCTTATCATTTGTTGCCTCATTCACAATAGTGCAGGCACGCTGGTGATCCCTCTGTTCTTTCAATGAATCAAACATGATTTGAGGTCTTGGGTTTTTTGCACTTGCTCTTCCCTTCTAGAAAGCTCTGCCTCCAGAACTCTATGAAGGACTCCTCCTTGTCACTCACGTCTGTTTAATCATCACTTCCTCAATGAGACCAGCTTTAATTACCCAAACTAACCTAGCCTCCCTCCACCACATGCACTTGAGTCTATCATATCACACTGTTTCATCATGACTCTTAACACTCTATGAAATTTTCTACTTATTTGTTGGCTTCTTACCAACTTTCTCTCATTATAATGTAAGGTCCCCAGTAGAAAGGACCTTGTCTTTGTTTACCACTCTATCATCAGCACATAAAACAACTTTGGCTCATAGTAGATATCCCATAGATATTTGCAAATGAATGAATAAATATACATTCTTTGTCCTCTTGTCATAGCACTGTAGCAGGAAATATAACAAGCAATTACAATACAGTCTTGGATCCAGCTGCCCTATAACATAAATCCTCATTTCAAAAATTTTTAATCAACTTATTTTTCCTTGAGCTCATTTCCAACCTGTGCAGCTACTTGTCCTACAGGGCTCCTCTCTGTTTATCTAAATCCTACCCTTCCTTCAAGGCAGAACTAAAGTATGATCTTCCGTGAAAAGAGGAAAAGGTAAAGCCTTTCTCATTATTTCAGATACCCATCCATCTTTTCCTCTGGGCTCCTACTGTACCTACTGTTCACGTCTGCTTAATCTTATGCCATATTAAATTGCTCCTGAGCTATTCAAATGTACATACTTTATACTCCCAAGCAGATTGGAAGTTTCTCAATGATCTGAATGTTGCTTTTTAATTTCTTGCCTCGTACTTCTTATCTCCACTTTATGCAACAAAATACTATACACAGAGTTTGATTGTTGATTGTTCATTTAGCTTCCAAAGGAACTCATTCTAGCTTTTCCATTCACAGGTTCAAGCTTTCTGGAACTGCAACAGAAAATATGAATTGTGCTTATTTTCATAATGGGAAAATTCACCCTACCTTCTGTGAGAACAAACATTATTTAATGTGTGAAAGGAAGGCAGGCATGGCAAAGGTGGACCAACTACTTTAATGCAAAGACATGCACAGCACGTCACAGACAAGTGCTCGATGGTACAATAAGAGATCTGGATGAAGGAATCACTGGCCATAGAATTGCTTATTTTTCCCTTTATTCCCCTTAGAGTGACCTTTACATTATCTTTCCTACCAACACCACTTAGTTCCTTCTTTATATAACCCTTTATACTGAGGAATAACTTAGTGCCTTCTTTATACATCCAGAAACCAGTCTATGAGCTGATTATTTCCCAATGGTTCCATTAATTAATTTCCATTAATTTTCATTCTTCTTGTCTTCCATTCCTAATTATCTCAACATGCTATGATTCACTGCATCTCCAGACATAAACATATACATTTTACATTGAAACAAGAAAGGTTAGCGCTTAAATGACTTAAGCTGTGTAAAATATCTAAGTCTGAGACTATGCAAAATATCTAAGTTTGAAAGACAGCATAAAGTAGTGGAAAGTATACTAAACTTGGAGTCACTAGAATAATTTCGATGGCATGATCACTCAAGTACAACCATGGCTCAATCATGTTGCCTCTTAACTTCCATTTTCTAGTATTTAAAATAGGATAACACCTGTCTTATATACCTCACAGTTCCACAACCTAAAATAAAAACTTCAAAGTATTAATTATATCAGAAACTCCATGAAAGCAAACCCCATGACTTTCTTATTTTCTATTCTATGCCAGCAAGCACAGCTCCTGGTTCATAGGAAACAGAAAAATATTTGCTTCTCTTTGTGTGAGACAGTTCATTAGGAAGCACAGCAATCAGTAAAACACTATACAGATATAATTTCTATTCCAAGCCCCCCTATGGTCAGACTCAAGAGCAGTAATTTTCTGTCCAAGAGAAGGAAAATAAAGTTTGCAAGAAAACTGACGGGGTTTGAAAATGAGTAAATGCTTTTTAACAAGTTGCACAGGCTAGTGGAACAGCAAGCAAAAATGCTTTATATAGTTCTTTTCCTGACAGCTCTGTGTTTGGCTTTTGCTGAGTAACTCATGCAGTATTTATAGATATGTGGAGAGGCACCCTTTAGCAGGATAATAGGCAAAAATTTCATTTCTTTTCACAGCTTCCCCGAAGGTACTCTTTCTCCTTAAATTCGTGGCAATAAAATTTATGAACATGATTCTCAAACATCCCAACTGAGGTGCTTGTTAAAACATGCAGATGTTCAGGGGCTTCCCTGGTGGCGCAGTGGTTGAGAGTTCGCCTGCCGATGCAGGGGACACAGGTTCGTGCCCCGATCCGGGAAGATCCCACATGCCGCGGAGCGGCTGGGCCCGTGAGCCATGGCCGCCGAGCCTGCGCGTCCGGAGCCTGTGCTCTGCAACGGGAGAGCCCACAACAGTGAGAGGCCCGCGTACCGCAAAAAAAAACCCACAAAAAAACCCCCCCAAAAAACATGCAGATGTTCAAATACTTATGGTACTCAGTGGGAAGGCTGAGAAGACAGAGTCCTATGTTTTTAATAAGCACCCTGACTTGCTTCTGATACAAGTATCCTTTAATACATTTCGAGAAATGTTACTTTGGAACTTACTCCTTATCTGGCTTTTGGTAAATTGGTTAGTCTCTTTAAAACTCAGTTTCTTCATCTATGAAAGGAGTTTAATATTATTACCTTACTCATAAAGTAATTGTGAGGATTATTTAATATAATTATGTAAGGCATTGAGCAGAGTACCAAGCATATAATTAATACTCAATGAATATGTATAACTTTTATAGCTTTGTGCACTGACACCCAAAGACACTTGAATCTGTTTTGTTTTAGACTATCCATAAACAAGCAGATTTGGCAGGGGAGGGGTGGCAAGAGGCGGCACTGAGGAAAAATAATAGAAATACTATAGAGATTCTGCTTCCACTTCAAATGCGTTGAGATCTTGGCTTTGGGGTATAGTGCCATTATTTTCCTGTTTGTACTTGTTTATTTAGAGAAACCAAATTGGAACTAATAATTCAGAAGACTGTCCAAAATTCAGCCATACCTCTGAAATTTAGTGTTTTATCTCCCCCAAATGGAAAAGCATACATTTTATATCACTATTCATGACTGAATTTTAAAGAATAATATTGTAGTGGATGGCAAAAGTGCAATTAAAACATGTAAACCAATCAAACTGTACCTACAAAGATTCTTTTTTTCTGATACTCATATCAGAAGCATCTTATACATAAAATCAGAAGAGCATAGACTTTAGTAGCACAGGGAAGTGAACTTGGGAAAATAGTTTGACTTCTCCATGCCTCAATGTGCAATTTTGTTACAACATACTAATAATAGTAACTATGTCACAGAGCTATTTTGAGATTCAAAATAATTCATGTAAAAGGCCTTTGAAACGGTGCTTGGAATATAATGAACAATAAATAAGATAGTATGATTAAAAACATTAAACATCATACAAGTAACATACTAATCTTTGGCTGGGAGAGCCCAATGTTTCCCCCAAAGAAATTTATCAGAGAGCATACTATATTGGGGAAACCTAGATCTTTCTGAGCGTTATATTTAGTGCTGATAAAATTTGAGAGCCCCTGGAAATTAATGGCAATCACTGAATTTCGGTTCCTGCATTCTTCCTGACGTTGCTCTTAATGCATATTTGTTGTGCTTGTTGTTTCTTCCTCTTCTTCACCTCGATAGAAATCATTTCAATGTAAAGGCGATAGGGAGTTAAGTCACATTATTTTCTCTGTCAGAATCTCAGGTCACTTAAAAATCATATGACATATTTGGAGAATTTGCTGGATATTCTCCATTTGCCTCTTGAGATCCTCTTGGCCCCATCCTATGTCTTGGGAGGCAGAACTCCAAGGTACAGCAATATCTGGGCAAACGTGGCCTCTGGCTTCCAGTTAATTCCTCTGTTGGGAGGTACTAGCAGTGATCAGGGGGGTGAAAGGGGAGAACGGTCCGGGTGTTTATGCCACTGGCTGTCACCTACCACACCCTGGTTTGGCAAAGACTTCATGTTCTGTATCTTAGGCCATGGCCCTTTCAGATAGGTCACAAAGTTCCAATAATTACCCTCCCCTTAACCCTTCAGGCCTAGGTGTGATAATCGTTCCCCAATGCATATTTCACAACCCCTTTCTGGTTTCCTTAATCCTTCCCCAATCTTTATAAAACCGTCTTTGTTAAATGCCCTCAGATGCCCCCTTGAGTGCGCCATTTGTTTTCTTCTGTTACAGGATCAATGGTTGATCCAGTGAGACACTGCGACCAAAAAGAATTTTGCAGATTGTTGGGATTTGCAGACTGTAAATTACTGAGACACTACTTTTGGCCGTAAGGACAAATGGCCAATATATGAATGATGATTAAAGTATCAAATTTCTCAATACCAATGCTGTAGTCACAGGATGTGGCTGAAACAGCCCTCTATCCACTAAATAATTCATGCTTCCCTTCTAGAGTGAAATTATTATAGAAAGTTTGCTAGCCAGGCAAAAATTAGGCTTATCAGGATCAAACTGCAGATCCAAACAGGGCACTGTTAGTGGATGTGAATGTCATACATGATAATTCAAGGTTACGGCTTTTAAGAAGCAGATGTGGATATGCCATCTTCTCCTTTTCTTTCCATTGGCTAGAAGTATGACATTCCAACCACCCACAACATAGAAGGAGCGGGGTTGCCTTTGGAGGAAAACTACCCACTAACCAGTATTACTGGAGCTAAAATGTTACGTGAGCGAGAAATAAACTTTGTGTTAAATGACTGATATTTTGAGGTTTCCTTGTCACAGCAACTGCATCACCCCAAATAATACAGTGTGTAAATTAATTTGAGGGATGAAATTCCTTCCCAGTTTTCTTGTTTAAGGAGGTACAGTGATCTACAACTCCTTCCACGCTGGTTGGCCCAATGTGAGCTATCCTCGTATCTTTGCCATCAAGGTCATTCCCACACTTCACATCCTAAACCAAATGTAAGCTCATTCTCTGCACTTCTGGCCCTTTCATTTTAACAGTAATCCAGGGCTATCACCTTCAACATCTGCTACATTGTAGAAACCAGAGCAATAACCTATTCTATTATTGGCCATTTTGAGTTCAGTTTCTTTCTCACTTCCTTCTTTACCAAGTTATGCTTTGGCTTAAACTTCTACTTTCTGGATGAAGATGCATCTATTCTATTCCTTAAACTCAAACATATTTCCCCACTGGTGTGAAAAGGTAGCTAATTTCAGTTCTTCCATTAATCTGCTCCTGACTACAAAAGGAGTTATTTGTCTCAGCTTCTCATGTGGACCCTTACCTATCAAAGCACCTCAGACATGCAGGAGGAAGAAACATACACCTCTCTTCAGTGGGATAATCCAACACCAAACCCTTACCAGAAACATCTGTCTTCCACCAAAAATTCAGGTAACCAGTTCTACTTATTTAGACCAAGACCTTGTGGTTTATGGGTTTTCTTTTTTCCTGTTCTATGAGGAGCCCAAGGTGATTTTTCTAATCTGAGATAACCCACTTAAGAGTAGTATAATATGCGTAATATGATGCATAATATTGCATAATATGCAATAGTATTATAATATGCATAATATTAAAAATGAAATGAAATGGAGGAGAAGTAAAAAGGAAAAGAGAAATGGACTTGACAAATATGTATTACATTGGTTTTCTCTCTCTCTCTCTCTCCTCTCGCTGGAAAGACAAAGAATTCCTGGATTTGGAAAATAAGTGAAAGAAATCATATATTTTGTGTAATTTTAGTTCCCACGTAAAAACACCCTGCACATTATCTGATAAATACTAAGAAGTAAAAGAGAAAACGTAGGTTGAAAAAACTGGCAAACACTCATCAGCCTGGATCAGTTCTGTCTTTATAATTTAATATTCGTATTAGTCTCCTATTGTTTAGGTAATATATTACCACAGACTTAGGGGCTTAATACAACAGAAATTTATTTTCTTATAGTTCTAGAGATCAGAAGTCTAAAACGGGTTCCACTGGGCTGAAACCAAGGAGTCATGGGGCTACCTTCCCTAGAGAGGCTCTAGGGGGCAACCCATGCCCTGTCTTCTCCAGTTTCTAGAGCTGCATTTCTTGCTTTCCTTAGTTTGTGGCTCCTTTTCCATCTTCAAAAGACAGTAGCACATTTTCAAATGTCTCTCTGCTTCCTCCATCATATGGCAGTCTGTCCCTCTAATCTAAATCTCACTTATAAGTGCCCAGGTAAAACAGGATAATCTCCCCATCCCAAGATCCTTAACCTAATTATACCTTTAAAATCTCCTTTTCCATGTAAAGTAACACTTACTGGTTCCAGAGATTAGGACATAGGCATTTCGGGCAAAGCTGTTATTCAGCCTACGACATTATCCGACGATAAATTTTATACATTTTTCTGTAACTAGCATTAAGAATATAGCAAATCACACATTCATTTTCCTTTCCTGAATAGTTGCAAAATTACCTTAAAAAATTGTCCTCATCCAAAATCATACGTTTAAAGGGAAATACCTTTGAACCAATCATGCTCAAGTGACACTGACAGGAGATGAGATTGGAGACAGCCTCTTTGCTCTCAAAAACTAAAGCCTGCTGCCTGGCTTGCCATCATCTCTCAAAGATTGTTGGAAGAGAATACACCTAACTAGTTACTAAGTTTGTGGTGTTATATAAGGATAAGAGAAGTATACTATTAAAACTGTTCAATTTGGCATTTTTCCAAATCCAGTGTATTCCAAGTTATGACTTGCATTTCCAAGAGTTTGAGTTCACCTTTTCTTGTTACACACAGTTACAAGGCCTCGGTGATTCTCTAGAAGGAATGTCTAATGTTAACTCCTTAGTCTACTCAGTGTAGTCCTATCCTGACCCACCTCTTTCCTCTACTTTCTCTAATTCAATTTCATTGTCTCTATTCCTTGTTTAGGAACATGGTGTCTTGTGACGGTGGTTTTATGTATCTTCTGCATAGGCTCATTAGCAACCTCCATTTTCTTGGGTGTCAAGTGTAAGTACAAAAGGATATCTTCAAAGTAATCTATAGATAGGTTACATACTTCATGTAGTGTTATATACAATTATATGTACGTATGTCGTGGAACTGGAACTTCGTAATTTATAAATGGATAGACAAATTAATTAGAAACATCTAAATGACATAAATGATATAAGATAATGGCTTCCTTATTTAAGTTATGGGACATTTATTTGATATAACTCTCAAGCACTCGGAGGCTAATGATAACTTTTAATGTTCAATTGCATGTTGTTTAACTCAAATCTAATACCATAGGTCTGTTGGGGAAAATGATGCAAATAATTGCTTATATCATGACTCAATTTATGAATCATGTTAGTATGCCAAAGCTTGCAATTTGTAAGTTTTCAGTATAGGCTCTTCCTTTTCTAATATACATTTGTTCTAAATTTGACTTATATGATTATTTTAATATGTCTTTCACTTTATATTTGATGAGGTACCAGTTAGTATGTTTAAGGTAAATGTGAGAACTTTGTTCGAGCCAATATTTAACCACATTTCTTTATTCGTTTTAGTCCAAACTGGAGACATGTTTCTATATCTAGCAAATGAATTTTTTATAAAATGTAACAATTACAGAACTGCAGGTTCCAGAATCAGGACTAAGACCCTTTATTATCACTCATGCTAGCACTGAGAAATATGCTTAGCAAGACAGAGAGGAAGGCTATTGTCTGGATAATTCTTATTTCTTGTATATCTTGGCAAATCATTTTTCTGTCTAGGAGGAATTAGCTGGCAAAGGAGAATTAGGAGTTCTGAAATGAAGAAGAGAAGAGTACAAGGTTTGCTTCCACAAAGTACAGGAAACTTGACCTTGTTCATGTTAGCTATGATCTTATTTTCCTGGCGGTTCAGAGAGGAATGTTTTAATAATTTCTAGGCTCTCAAGAAGTAATTGTTACCTTGTCTATCTCCTCAAATAAAATTTCACAGCCCAACATAAATGTCAGAACTTCCTTTATCTCACCTTATCTTCCCTCTGTACTTTATTAAAATAAACATAAATAGTATATATAATATACTATATATATATATATAAAATACTAGTCCATTTTTAAAAGAAATTCACAATTAAATATCTGTTTATCAAACATATATACTGGAAGCAGATTTGCAGAGTTGGAAGAGAACTACCATATAAGTCAATTAACATATAATAATCCAGTTTTTTCTGTAAAAACTGGGGACTCTTAATGAAATATTGCCAAGTTCCATTCTAACTGCAAGAATACATATTTAACTGACATTACAAATATCAAAAGATATGGTCCAGGTATCCATTCTGTATAACAAGTTTCAGTGTTATTTTATAAATATTAACTACTTAGGGTAAAAAGATGAAAGAAACTTGAAGTACAGAGAACAGTTTCAATTTAAAGCAAAATAACTGAAGGTGCAACATCTTGAAACAATGTTGTCAAGTGAATGGAATGTAGAATTTGTTTTATACATAAAAATAAATCTATAGTCTCCAATCATCAGTTATTATATAGCCAAAAAGCACATAGTACATATTAAGGATGTTGATAAAGTCATACTGTACACTTTTATGTCCTCAAAAATCTTGCTCTCTGATGGGCACATAATTTTGTTTTCTTCTCTGTTTAGTTTATGAAATCTGTCAAGATCAACCATGACAATCATGTTCTTAACAAACTCTGGGTTATCTTAAACTGAATGAATTAATTTTGATCTAGAAATCCCACTTCTGGAAAGTTTTCCTATTGATAAACCTGCACATGTAGCAATAGGAAGAAAAACAAAAAAGATCGAAAAAAATGCAATTGCCTATCAGTAAAGGACCACTTAATTAAAAAATGATACCTCCACACTATGGGATACCAAGAAGCCAGAAGAAGAAGAAGGAGGAAGTGGAGATGAAGGTGGAGGAGGGGCAGGGGAAGGCATTAAAGGAAGGATGTGTGGCTTCCCTGGTTGCACAGTGGTTGAGAGTCCGCCTGCCGATGCAGGGGACACGGGTTCGTGCCCCAGTCCGGGAGGATCCCACGTGCCGCGGAGCAGCTAGGCCTGTGAGCCATGGCTGCTGAGCCTGCGTGTCCGGAGCCTGTGCTCTGCAACAGGAGAGGTCACAAGAGTGAGAGGCCCGCATACCGCATTAAAAAAAAAAGGAAGGATGTTTATTACAAAAGTGTGTGGAAAGACCAGGTTCCAACAGGCAACTCTTCCTCTCCATGTAAGTGTCCTTTCACGACACAATTTCTCTCTTGGATCAGGAAGCACCGATGTGTACACAAGACACCTTGGTACCCCAAAATGAAGTCTTGCTTGGGAATTTATGTCTTGCTGACCACCTGATATATTCCTGAGAGGTAACTAGCCTCAACAGCAGAGCCTTCTCAGGGTCTCTTTGTAACCAGGGACAAATCGTCAATCGTATGTCATCAATGAACAATGCTGACAAGATAGTATAATCTGGCCCCCCAAATCCTCATACCCATGATAACAAAGCTACACTATTAATCTGTATGTTTCATGCCTTGTCCGGAGATCAGTGTCATGTAGGAATTTTAAAAACACTGCTCATGCTGATTCCAGGCCAGCCCAAATTAATTCTCACGGCACAATAAGGACCACATATATAAGACGAGAAACCCAATGAAAAAAATTACAAAGGATATAATTATACACTTCATTGAAAAGAAAACACAACTGACCGTTATTTATACATGTGTGAAAAGAGTTTCAACATCAAACATAAAAAGATACATGCAAATTCAAATGAAATTGAGAGAACATTTGTATGAGATAATAGAAGATATACATTAGTGTCTCTCCCCTCTACTCTGCTGTGACAAGAGCACTAGAAACATCTCTCGTTCTAATAATTGTCTTTGACCAGGTCCCTGACACAGGGCTCCTGAAACGCTTGTAAATTCCTAAGTGATAAGAACACTAGGAATATCTTTTGTTCTGATGAGGTGACTGTGGATGGACTCCTGTATGGGGGCTGGTCACCAGCAAGACCACACCATGATTAGAAGCTTGGAATTATCAGCTCCACCCCCCATCGTCCAGAGAGGGGAGAGGAGCTGGAAATGGCATTAACAATTGATCGTGCATGGGACTTCCCTGGTGGCGCAGTGGTTAAGAATCTGCCTGCCAATGTAGGGCACACAGGTTCGAGTCCTGGTCTGGGAAGATCCCACATGCCGCGGAGTAACTAAGCCCGTGTGCCACAACTACTGAGCCTGCGCTCTAGAGCCCCGAGCCACAACTACTGAAGCCCATACACCACAACTACTGAAGCCTGCGTGCCTAGAGCCTACGCTCTGCAACAAGAGAAGCCACCGCAATGAGAAGCCTGCGCACCGCAATGAAGAGAAGCCCCCGCTCGCCGCAACTAGAGAAAGCCCATGCGCAGCAACGAAGACCCAACGCAGCCAAAAATAAATAAATAAAATAAATTTATAAAAAAGAAAAACAATTGATCATGCTTATGTGAGGAAACCTCCATAAAATCCCAATAGTGTGGAGTCAGAGAACTTCCAGGTTCGTAAACACATCCACACTGGGAGGGTGACACACCCAACTCCAACTCCATGGGGACAGAAGCTCTTGAGCTCAGGACCCTCCCAGCTCTCTCCCAATGTATCTCTTGACCTGGGTGTTCATCTGTACCCTTTATCATACCCTTTAAAAAACTGGTAACTCATTTCCCTATCAGTGAGCTGCCTTAGCAAATTAATTGAACCCAGGAGGGAGTCATGGGAACCTCCAATTTGTAGCCAAATCAAACAGAAGTTGTGGAAACCTGGGGACCTACTACTTGCATTGGCATCTGAAGGGGGGAGCAGTCTTTGGGACTGAGCCCTTGACCTGTGGGACTGTTACTTTCTCCAAGAAGATAGTGTCAGATTGAATTAAATTATAGGACACTGAGCTGGTGTTGTGGAGAAGGGCGAGGGTGGTGGTGGTGGAGAAACCATACATTTGGTGACAAGAAGTGTCAGAAAAGTCAAGATGATTCACAGGAGAAAGGTTTATAGAAGGAAAAACTGAGTTTTTCCTATACAGTTTGCATCGGCACACATGGAAGGTAATTTGGAAATAGCTAATACAATTTAAATGCACAAAACTTTGACCCATCAACGTATCTTACAAATATACTTACACATGTGTGAAATTATGTATAACTGAGGTCCTTTATTACAGTACTTCAGTAATATCAAAAGATTACAAATAGTCTAAAATAGAGAATTATTAAAATAAATCATGACCTATCCATACAGTAGAATGCTATATAACAAAAGAATGAAAAAGCTCTTTATGTACTAACACAGTATTATGTCCAAAATATATTTTAAGTGTTAAAATAAAAAGTGAAAAACCATGTAAAAAGATTGTTACCATTTGTGTAAAGGGGAAGGAGGAGATTTTATATCCATTTGCATGCAAAGTTCAAAATATCTCTGGAAGAATAAAAAAGAAATTGGCAAACCCGACTACTTTGGGAGACTGGAATTGGGTGAATAAGGAAACAGGAATGGCAAAGAGCCTTGTTGCTGTGCATTCTTTGTAGGTTTTAATCACAAATATAATCAGTAATGTGTAGTTCTCTTTAGTCTATGTTGAAGCTTTACTTTGTTATATGTCAGTATTTTATCAGGAATGGTTGTTATTGTTTGAAGTGTTCCAGGTGTCCACTACTGCAATGAAGCAGCAACAAAAACTCATCCAACAGGACAGAGCACTGCTCAATTTCACACAGTGGAAGAGAAACCATGGCCTGCAGATGAAATATTGCCAAATGTTAATGCAGAAGTCTTTCAGTTCAGGTAATTGATCTAAAATCAGTTTCCACTGTGTGGATACACATGTATACACCAATTCCTCAAAACAACAACAATAACAACAAAAAACCAGTGACATACATTTTATTCTTTGTAAAATTATAGTCAGGATTTCATAATAGGAGAGACATACTTTTGATCTACACTTCAGTTCAATCTCATATATATACATATATATATATATATATCAATAGTATGTGGAAAATACTGAGGTTCCACGAAACACAGATAAGAAAAATATACAGTCAAATGTCAAAATGGAATGTGTGAGATTAGTAGGTAAGATTAAACAACAAAAAAAGCAACATATTGTGTTTTATCCAATCATTCAAATTTACGCGTATCTTTAATTAGAGCTCCAAATGCCTCAATTTATTTAGTTTAGATCTTGCTTTAGATTCAAATGTAGATATCTCTTGAAGCAGAAGATTCATTTTGAAAATCAGGGACTTACAAAAATTATAACAATGCAGGGTTCAGCTCATTTTTAAAAATTCTATTAAGTGACTTTGGTTTTATCTTTTTCATCCCTTACAGGCATTTTAAACCTGTCTATTTCTACTTGTTAATAGTGTGTCAAGTACTCTACGGTTACTTAACTGGTGTTTAATAATACTAATACAAAAAATTTAGAGAATTAACTTCCCTGTAGTGGATAGCATCTTAGTAATTGTCCATAAGAGAGGTCAAAAACCTACCATAGCTCCTTCTAATTGAAATTTTGTCAAGTAAATGTTTAAAAACATCAATGTTTTTCAATATAGCAGACTACCGAAAGCATGAGTTAGGCCCACCTCTGAGCCATCAACCTTAAATCAGTGACGATATCCATTTTGGAGACTTGCAAATCCAGCATGTTGTCAACCTTTCAACTGTCACTTCAACACTACTTATGCTATGACTTTAACAATATTCAGGATACTGACTAGAGTGTATTTCAAACAAAGGATATTGAAGAGCCTTAAATAACTTGACATCTGTGCCATGGAAACTGATAATGAACCATTTTTGACCTTAAGTAGAAGGCTTTTCTCTAATGACTAGTGATCTGGCAGTGTCTTTCCCTCTATAAAACTGTGCCAGAAACACTTGGTCAAATTCCTGCTCTTTGGTTCCCCTTTTATACATTTGAGCATCCTTCTTTTGTACGTTCTTTCTTAACACAGGTTCTGTAAAACTGGTTAAACACTGTGGCTTACTTCTTAGTTATATCAAAGTCCTAAAATAAACATATTGGTCAGTTGTGTTTTTGTTCACTTTTCCTCACCCACAAATTTTAAAACCATTCCTCAAGGTGCATTGTTTGTTCTCTCCATTCTGTGCGAAAAATTTTCATGTTTAACTCTCAGAATGTAAACATCAACTTGAGGTTTATTATGTTACTCACCTAATTAATTGGGAATGTACTTATTATTATGCTTGGTACATTCCCAATTAAATTGGGTCAATAAGATTAAAAGACATGAAACAAGCAAACAAATGAAGATTATAAATGATGTAAAGTTAAAAGGAGGAAAGATTTCTAAAAATAGAATAATCAGATCAATTATTATAGAGGAGGAACAATTTGGGAATAGATATTCTCAAATTAATTTTATCTTAAACTAATTCTTAGAGACCTACTGCACTTGGAAATAATTGTATAAATCTTACTGTATTCAGCCTCAAAGCAGCTGAAATTGGTAAGTACTGCATCATATGAACCATTGGGTTAGAGTCCAGCTTTACTGGGAGTGACACAAGGGTTCTTTTGAGAAGATATGCTACTAATATTTTTACAATAACTTTAATAAAATGTTTATATTTGAAGCCCATAACTGCAGCCCTTGTCCAGACAACTGGATTCGCAATGGAGAAAGTTGTTACCGTGTCTTTGAAAGCTGGACAATTTGGCACACCAGTAGAGAGGATTGTTTGAAGCAGGGATCTAAGCTTCTACAAATAGACAGCAAAGAAGAACTGGTAAACACTGTTTTATGGTTTCACATCATTCTGAAAATACCATATTACCCATTAAAAGAAAAGACTAGTTCTCATAAGACAGAATTCCTTGATACTCTATAACAATGGTAGATTTGTTGAAAAAAAGGTTTAACACACAAAGTAAGAATTAGCATGGCTTAGTTTCCTTTTAACTGGAGAAACAAAAAACGAGATGGTTATTCAAAAATCAAGGAGAATATGTTAGTTCTATGTCCTTTGTTAATCAAGAAGGGGAAAGGGTAAGAGAAATACCGTTTTGTAACATGGTAACCCACTCCAAGATATGCATACATTATAAGTGTATGTATGTTTTAAATGTCTTATTTTCAATGCTGTAGGGAGGTATAATAAGCTATAACAATTTTGTAATTATCAAGAAAAGTAGAAGTATAAAAAGTGAGGTGTTGTCATGAAATGGAGAGATTTATGAAAATAAGCATTTGCTAAATGAAAAGTTTAATTGACCTTAAATCTAGTTTACTAACATCTTAACGAGCAAACAGTAAGATGTTTCCCTGAAATCATTCTACCCATAAATTATGTGCGAAGTAGAAGACATAGTTACACATTTCTGAATTTATTAAAAATGTGTGCCTACTGTATTCAGTAACTAGTCAAAATTCCTTTTTGTAAGAGTAACAGTAGAACAATTTGTTAAGGTTATGTAATAAACCAAGGCAACTTGGACTAACTTATTACAATTATGGGTTCACATTATTTTTTCTGTGCAAATTTACTGACAAAAGTTAGAAATATTTCTTCTCACAAAATATGCCTACAGTTAAGTTGCTTTTGGAATCTTCTAAACTGTTTCTCACATTGAAATATCCTGGGAAAGTCATATACTATATGCCAAATTCTGAATCTGTTAAAACTATTTTGATACCAGATGCCTACTTTTTCCATAGTCCTTAACACCACATTGATCATTTAGCAATAGGGAAAAAGGTATCCTTTCTTTTAAAAATCCTCTCTCTCTCTCTCTATTTCCAGCTCTCAAATTCTAATTATTTCTGTGGAAACAAAATACCACACTTTATATTTCATAGTCATTTATTGGGGTTTTTCTGGTAGTACCCCCCACCCCATCCTCAGTTCACTGTTCTTGTTTCTTATAGGACTTTATCACTGGCAGCCTGAGGAAGATCAAAAGAAACGATGATTACTGGGTGGGACTGTCTCAGGATGGGTCCAGCCAACCTTGGCTTTGGCAAGACGGCTCCTCTCCTTCCCCTGATCTGTAAGTCTCTGAGGGAAACATTCCACGAAGAATTAGACACAGGGGGGAAATCAAAAGTTCATTTTATTTTATACCTTACATTTCCTCCAGAAGACATAACCAGCATGATAATTTCACAGGCTTCTGATTGGAATCAAAGCCAAGATAATTTAAGAATGGCTACATGACTTCTAAATTTTCTCTGTCTCAGCCCCACTGCCATTACACCCTAGCACATTCACATCAAAATTCGAGTCTGAATGAACAATACTATGTGATTATCACGTACATTTCCTTTGTATCTTTTAAAGGCTAGAGTGCTAAGGGCAAGAGACTATAGTAATTATTAGGCAATTTCCATAGTAAGCTTTCAGAAAGAGCTAGGGAGGCTGGTCAGCAGTGCCTTCGTATTTTGAGAATTAAGAATCAGAAAAGAGATTCCAAATTAGAGCCTATCCTTTTGTATTCAAGCTTTTTTTTTTTTTTAAAGTGCTGCTTGTTGAAGTAATATTTACATACTTTATTGAGAGAAAATAGTTCTGTTATTGAAGAAGAAGGGCAAAACTACCGCGAGGGTGACAGATTAAAACAAAAGGAAAAGCTGTACATCTCTCATTTTATTGCCCAGAGGACATTCCCGTAAGCCCAACACCTAACCTCAGATACACTGACTTGCGTCTCCAGGTCACCAATACAGGGACCCCAATCAACTAACCAGGTCTGTGGATACCTCGGAAACGACGGCCTTTCTTCCGCTGACTGCAGCACTTGGAAATATTTCATCTGTGAGAAATACGCGTTAAGATCTTCTACCTGAAAGAAAGTTTGCTTGAAGTGATTGCTCCATTATGGTAATACCTGCAACAGATCATTGGAAAACCTGTAACAATGAGTTTAAGAGTCAGCGCAGAAGTAAACCAGTGCAAGGGTTGTGAAACCAGCTACCCAAGACACAAAACCTATCTTGCATTTACACTTGGTAATATTCCTCAACATTTTCCAGATGTTCCTTTGACATTGTTCAAATTAATTACCGAGAATAAAATTGGTTTAGAGCAACAGAGGACAAAACCCTAAAGAGTGGAAAACAAGCTGAAGAAAAATCATTTCTATTTGTCATTTTTTTTCTTCCTCTCTCTCTCTCTCTCTCTCTCTTTTTAACTTAGAGTGACCGTGAACTCGACAGAAAAATCTATAAGTCACTGGGGAGATGATGCAGTTTTAGCTGACTGATACTGTTTTTAATAAATGAATAAATGTGATCTTTTAAACTCACCGTTTGCCAGATCTTTCTGTGCATTTGCTGGGTTTCCAGGCATTATGTTATTGGACCAGTAGGATGGGAGGACAGAGATATGGATTTTCAAATTGGAAGGAAGACAGGCTGCTATCTGCTGCCTGTAAGACAATACCATTTTTCGGACTGCAGAATTCTGCTGGAGAGATGAACAACCAGAGCTACACGTAAGTGGAAGAAATAGCCAGGCTGCCGATATCAGCGTGTCTCCAGTAAAGAGCGGCGAGCTTCCTTTCTGCCTCTCACTGAACATCCCCACCACTCGCAAATCAAAAGACTCATGATCTGCATCCTCAAGGTTAATACTCCAGCACTTTTAACTACATCTCTCTGTGCCTCAATGTCCTCCTTGAAAAACAATAATAGAACTTGCTTCAAAATATTGTTTGAGGGCTTCGCTGGTGGCGCAGTGGCTGAGTCCGCCTGCCGATGCAAGGGACACGGGTTCGTGCCCTGGTCCGGGAAGATCCCACATGCCGCGGAGCGGCTGGGCTCGTGAGCCATGGCCGCTGAGCCTGAGCGTCCGGAGCCCGTGCTCCGCAACGGGAGAGGCCACAACAGTGAGAGGCCCGTGTACCGCAAAAAAAAAAAAAAAAGACACCACTTAAATAAATAAGGTGAAATAAAACCTAATTAATTGAGGCAGTAAGAAATCATTTAAGTGAACCTGGAAGTCTATTGTAAAAGATGACCTCTGAAGGAGACATTCCTTTAGGAATGGGAAGGGCATGTTTTTGTGTTTATTTCTTTATTTACCCTTGACTTGGAGCTTAAATGGTGGGAATGTCAATAAAAGGGATTATTCTCTAGTTTTCTGCTGAACCTAGAAAAGGAAAATAGCAAAGAAAACACAGTATAAGTTGTCCGCTCTGGTTTTTCCAGCTGGCAGCTCAATCTAATAACCTGGAATAAAGGGGAAATAATAGCAAATTTTAGTAGCAAAGACTGTTTGTCTTCAAGATTCTTCAAAGTATTGTCATGGAGCTGTATTTAGAGAAAGGATAGGAAGCATTTAATAACTCTTTTCAGAAGAAGTACAATGAAGCCAGAGGCAAACATCCTACAGCTGACGTCATCCGCCAGCATGTGATGCAGTATTTACAAGTCCGAGTTTTATCTACAGAGCAGCTGGCATAAGCCTCTACAGATTTCCTCAGTGGTAATATTGCTTTCCACACAGATGGTACGGGTGGGAGATTTTTCCTTGCCGTTTGCTTTTGGCCCAGAAAAGCACTGCCTTTTTCAACACAGTGGTAAAAGACTGGACCTTAACACCGGGATAATCAGTTTCATATCCTAGTCCCCCCAATAATGAACTGGGTATCTGATCTATCTCACTGAGTCCCGGATTCGTTTTTAAAAAGGGAAAGGATAGGAAAAATAAAACCCTGTTCTATCAATGTAAAAGGCTTTTTTAACATGCTCTATCCAAAGGACATTACATGTATGAAAAGAAAAACTTTGGTAATATTGATAGAATAATAATAAGTATCATTAGATTCTAAAAATCTATTCATACAATGAATAAAAGAAGGTATGTACACTTGAAATCAGATTATGCAGCTTTTTGTGTTCTTCGAAAACTGCAAGAATTCCATTAGAAAGTATTCGACTCCCAAATATTGAGGGCAACCCTGAGGCAACCTTCTAGACCTTTCTGTGTATTTCACAATCTGCTACTATCTCCAAAGTAAAAGTTCCCAGCACACTTCTCACATTTCCTGCTGTTACAAGACCCCTGACCTGCTTCCTGTTGATAAATTTTAAGAGCTGGTTAATATCCTCAGGAAAAGAAATAGCTCATTGTGTACCCTGGGGAACTCGGGTCTACCAGGAAAGGCCACGTTCCTCATTTAACATTTCCCCCCAGTTTCTTCAGAATTACCTAAACACACAAGAGCCTAGAAGAACAAAAGTTTTCTCATGTTGGAAAACCCATTCACGGTGTGCTACCCTGTCTGATTCTCGACGGAAAATTGTTCTCAGAAAGTCATATTAGGATTATTGCCTACTCTTAAAATTAAAAAAAAAAAAGTTTGTGGACTGAATGCTGTGCCGTACTCCTTTCTGTTCTTCGGAAATACTTGCTCATGTCGTGATCAGTGCTGTGGATTTTATTAGGTAGATGAGGAGGTTGAGGGCAAAGATGGAGAGGAATCAGCTCAAGAATAACAAACGTCAGGGCTTCCCTGGTGGCGCAGTGGTTGAGAGTCTGCCTGCCGATGCAGGGGACGCGGGTTCGTGCCCGGGTCCGGGAAAATCCCACATGCCGCGGAGCGACTGGGCCGGTGAGCCGTGGCCGCTGAGCCTGCGCGTCCGGAGCTTGTGCTCCGCAAGGGGAGAGGCCACAACAGTGAGAGACCCACATACCGCAAAAAAAAAGAATAACAAACGTCAGATAACATGCTGTTATTTTTCCTTTCTCGCCATCCAAAGTGACACTTTCCCTTAGGCTGCAGATCTGGAGAGAAAACACTAATCATCACCCACTAACCAGGCAGCTAGACTTGTTAAAGCAATGACATTTAAAGAGACACCCGTCATCCAGCCCTGAGCTAGTCCGCAGTCACGTAAGATGCCAGGGGTCAAAACTGAATGTGCGCCACCTCACTTTTATTTAGTTCACAAAATCATTTGACTTTCTCAGATTAACCATATTTTCTTGCTGCAGGAACAAGTCTTAAATAACACTTAATTGCTTAACTAAAGGTCTAATCCATGTCTCTCATTATGCGCTTATTATATCAACCACGTTCATTAAATACCTGCACCCGTCATAGAAAATATTTAGTAACATCCACAGGGCCCCAGTGTAGGGACCTCTCTATAATTTGTTCACGAATGTAGGTCTCTGAAGAAGGTGGTTTATGCTTGCTTTCGCTTCCCTACTTTTAAAAACTAAATCCCTCCTCTGCTTTTCTACATATTTTTAATATCCTTTACATTTTACACTGCAATGTAGATTATGAAACTAATTCCACATGTACCTCATTTCAGCCAACAAGAACACCGTGAGGAAACTAAATATGTCTACTTTATACTTGATGAAATAAGTTCTGTGAAGTGAAGGGATTTGCCAGATAATAAATTACAATACGGGATCTAAAACTTCATTTTATGGCCACAAATGCAGTTCTTTTTGCAGTACACAATAAATCGATGCAAAATTTGTTCAATGCTGAAGAAATTTCCTAACTAATTAACAGAAAATTGAAGGGAAAATTCTTAAGGAAGAAGTCTACAAGCAACGATTGATAAGTGACACAGTCTTACAGGAATAAATACCAACATCTCCCCTTTATCATGTATTTGCTAATTCAATGTCATTTCACCATGAGATAGATGTTTACTGAAAATAAAACTGAAGCATCCTAGTTTCCACTGTTGAAAAACAAGGAATGATAATAGATTAGCCTTTCTAGTGTTAAACCCCTAAAATTGATTTATCTCTAAGTCGATGAAGTCAGTGGCTGTGATGGTGTTATTTGCAATGATTTCTGTTATGTGCGTGCATATTGTCCTGAGCTATTGGCACCTGCACAGAAGCCAGCTGTGTATGCAGATGTCAGAGTGTCTCTTTCACTCGCCATGACCTGATTGGATAACTCACCCTATCACAATTCGGTTGACTCATCTTTAGCCGCACATTGATGTTATAAACGTGCCTCAAAAGATTTAAAATTTAAAATGTTAAAACCATCCTCTTGCAGACAGCATGCCTCTCCAAGACTTCTTATTTTTCTCAAATAATGAAATAATCAGCACTCTTGTAGAGTCCCCACAAACTCTCAATAAGGCACACACAACCACAACACTGATTGCTCTCACATTTTGAAGAGCATCTGTACGTTGGAATTTTTCCCCAAAGCACAAGTCCTTTCTAAAACCACCAACACTTTCCATTATTTACATTTATTATTATCAAATCTTCAGTACCTGGAAGGTATAAACAGGGATTAAATGGAAGGAAAAGGAACAGAAACCGCACTAGGCCAGGCGCACATAAAGAACTTGACTTTTGTTCTGCAGAGCAGAAATCTTCCACTTCTCTGAAGGGAGCCTGCCGTTGCAGTTGTAGCTGGAGAACCATTGGCCTCCATGTCCGGCTCAGAGAGGCTCACGGAGCCTCTGCAGCTTCACCGTGGCCGCAGCTCTTTCACATGCGCATCGCCTCAACTCCCTGCAGTCCTTGGAGAAAGCCTTTCCATCGAGGATGGTCACACAGTCCCTACTTCTTAGGCTGGTGAAATCTATTATAATCTCAAACCTCAAAAAAGAAAAAAAAAGTTCATCTTATCATAGTTTACTTCTAAAATACAAAAGTACACAGGGAGTGTCCTAAGCTTGATAAAATTATAGAATAGACACCCATAATGAGTCTACTGGAAAGATGGGGTCACCAGACTCTTTCCTCTCAGCCCCTCAGTTTCCATACGCATTCTTAGAAGCATCAGCTCACCCAAAACAACAAAAACTATTTCTAACTAAAATGAAAATACACGTTATAATCCAATTTATCATTCGATTTTACTGCCATCTGAAAAATTATCTACCTTCTCTGTGACTCAGTTTATTTAACTGTAAAAAGTAATCACATTGAATATGTACTATCTCCTGGAAAAATAAATCCTATATAGGTATATAGAAAGGTGTCTGCTCAAACAAGGCTTTAAACTGTAATATATTTTGATATAGATATTACGTTTACCGATCTCAAACAATATACCGTACACATGCCTATCTAAATGCTCATATAAGTAAAACTAATTTTTGATAATATTACTGTTTATATTGTGAGTAAATCTATTCTCAGAGACTGTATTTTGAAAGATGTGCTCCCCATTTCACTGCACAGAGAGCCAAGAAATCTGAGGTCTTATACTGCCTCTGGGTATTGACAAGTTGTAGAGTTGTGCGACCTTAGGCAGGTCACCCATTACCACCTGGGCTTCAGTTTATTCACCCATAACAGATCCCTCTCTCTCTCTCCCTCTCTCTCAGAGAATCCTGGTCTGTCTCTCTCACTGGTTTATGAGCCATTCTGAGAGTAAGTACTATGTTTTATACACCTTTGGAAGTCCTCCTACAAACACAGTGATAGTTTCATTTATATTTGTCACTCAGGCAAAAGCTCTCTATTAAATGCCTTTCCCATGAAATGTGCTGAAGGCTTACAGTTCATGGGAGTAAGGGGCTCCGTCCATCCACAGCCAGGCCTTCCCGTTGCCGTTGCGGGATAGCCCTGTCCAATAAGAGTAGAAAAACTCAGAGTAGCTCTGAGGCATGGCAAACTCCTGTGAAAGGCACACAAGAAAACATTTAGCTTTAGAATTGTTTTATACATACAGAGATACGTAGAGCTGGCCCTCACTTTTAATATGAGAACATAGATGATAGTACATTCAAGAAAAATAGTGTCCATGCTGAGGTCAGTTCATTTGTCCAAGTTAAAGAATTATTTTTTCTTAATAAGCATAGACTATATGCTGATGTTCCGAAACCAAGAATCACGTCAACCAAGATTTATAAATGACCCATTATTTTCAAGTCACAGGATTAAACAAGATTGATATAAAAAATATGGGATGTAGAGATGTGGAGTGATTCTGGAAACTGGAAGAATCTGGAAGGAAGAGTGCAGGAATGGGAAGTAATCTTCATGAATACATGTGAAAAGGACTGACCAGGAACGAGAAAAGAATAACGAATATACTTTAATGCAAAGCAGGGTAAAAGAAAAATTTATAAGGCTGATTTATGTCTCAGACTAAGAAGGGAAAACAGAGAAATGTTTCATATATGTGCATTTACATTTTTGTGTATTTACATAGATGTAATTCCTTTTCTACTATCCATATTGAAAAATGTTTAAAGTTATTTATTTCCTTCTATATCATCTCACTCTTTAACACAGAAATTATCTAAATCTTTTATCATTATCCATTGTTACACCTTCCTTTTCCACGATACTGTGAGTTCCTTAAGGACATATACTTTGTTTTATTCATTTTCACATCCTCAATCCCTTGGATAATTAATGGCACATGTTGGTTCAATAAAAGATTACTGGAAATATAAATGAAACTATCACTAAGTGATAGTTACAGTATAGGCATATCAAAGAAACTGTAGTTGAAAATAGTGTTTCCAACTGAATGGTGGCCCCTTCACATTAAAAGTTCTATAAATAAATCATATGAAAGTGACTTAAATATATGCAAATACATGAAGTGCATAAGATAAAATTACTATGTAACTTTCATAATAATACTTCTAACCACTGCATCTAGTATACTTCAGTGGTATATCTGAATCTTGTTTGTGCTGGAGGTGGAGGAAACAGAGAATAAAAAAATTAGGAGGTTTTATGCTGGGATACATGGGCTTAGTCAAATAAATCGCCTCTTTTTCTGCCTAAATTGAGCCATCAAGAGCCACCTGGAGGGGTGGGAAAGGGAGGGAGGGAGGGAGATGCAAGAGGGAGGGGATATGGGGATATATGTATGTGTATAGCTGACCATTTTGTTATACAGCAGAAACTAACACACCATTGTAGAGCAATTATACTCCAATAACGATGTTAAAAAAAAAGAAAGAAAGGATGAAAAAGATTATCTTAGAGGTTTGAGAGAGATTGCAGAGTTTCATTCATCACAGATTTCAGGAAGTGGATAGGAATTAAGATGTAACTAGAAAGATGTTAAGAGTTTGCACAGTTAGCAGGGTATGAATTTCAATTAAATAACTCTTTGTTGATAAACTACTCTGTGCCAAGACCTCTGCTAAAACAATGATAAATAAATAATGGTCATACCGTTTGAGGAATCAAATCCAAAGGCTATAGATGCAGCCACTATGGAGAACAGTATGGAGGTTCCTTAAAAAACTAAAAATAGAACTATCATACGATCCAACAATCCCACTACTGGGCATATACCCTGAGAAAACCATAATTCAAAAAGAGTCATGTACCACAGTGTTCATTGCACCACTATTTACAATAGGCAGGACATGGAAGCTACCTAAGTGTCCATCGACAGATGAATGGATAAAGAAGATGTGGCACATATATACAATGGAATATTACTCAGCCATAAAAAGAAATGAAATTGAACTATTTGTAGTGAGGTGGATGGACCTAGAGTCTGTCCTACAGAGTGAAGTAAGTCAGAAAGAGAAAAACAAATACCGTATGCTAACACATATATATGAAATCTAAAAAAAAAAAAATGGTTCTGAAGAACCCAGGGGCAGGACAGGAATAAAGACGCAGATGTAGAGAATGGACTTGAGGACACAGGGAGGGGGAAAGGTAAACTGGGACGAAGTGAGAGAGTGGCATGGACTTATATATACTACCAAGTGGAAAGTGGATAGCTAGTGGGAAGCAGCCGCATAGCACAGGGAGCTCAGCTCGGTGCTTTGTGACCACCTAGAGGGGTGGGAAAGGGAGGGTGGGAGGGAGACCCAAGAGGGAGGAGATATGGGGATATATGTATATGTATAGCTGATTCACTTTGTTATAAAGCAGAAACTAACACACCATTGTAAAGCAATTATACTCCAATAAAGATGTTTAAAAAAAAATCCAAAGACAATAATAAATGTAAAAGGGAACAATCATGCCATTTTAATAGTGAACTTTAATTGCATGTACTTACTCAATATATGCCAATTTCATTTTCCTATTTGCCTTGTCCAGTCTATGTTAGGGTGTAAACTTCTGGAAGGCTAGATATTTATTTGCAGATATGGCAATGATTTAATTAAATGTTTTTCAATCAAAAGTTCTGTCACTTTCACATGGAAAGACAGGAAGTGCTATTTTCATGTCTCTGACGTGGCATCAATATTGTTCCCTTCCTACCCAAACCAAAAGAGGTTAAGAAATTAAGACCTTCTTCATTTGATTCCTGACTGATGGGGAACTTGAAGGTCTTGTTTCTAAGGGGTGGATAGTTGTGGAGGTCATTCCACAAACGATGACCTTAAGAGATCATTCAAAGCAATAGGAATAAGACTTAGGCCTTGATTGCAATAAATAGGAGAGTCTGTGGGCTTTGACACCTTAGAATCTTTTAAAGATTTCTTTCTGAGTGTACTTCAAACACTGACCAAGCCTCAGGACCTTACCAGTACTTCCCGTGTATTAATCTTCAGCATGGTCGAGTTCTCAGCAATGCAGAAATATTCACAACCCTGCCAACTCTTGCTTTCTTCATAGAACTTGTAGCATTTGTCCCCATGCCACTTCCATTTTTCTGGGCAAGGGCTGCATCTGTGCTCTTGAAAAGAAACCAAATTTAATGTTATCTTCTACCTAGGTCTGTTGTTTTTGTTCTCTTGAAATTACATAATATTTGATGACACAAGAAAGAATTGATTCCCTAGCTCTTAGATATTTAATTGCCCAATGATAATTACAAATATTTACTGAACACCCACTATATGCCAGGAATTATAATTGGGTATACAATGGGAATTAAAATAGACACTACCTGCTTTTATGGACAATGGAATCTAGTAGTGAATGATTGGAAATTCAGTGTTCCTTGCCCCGTGTAATTCAGCATACAGAGAGGATAGTCAATTTCATAAAGAACTTTTCATCTGTTCAAAAACTCAATATGCATTGGATTTGGGAAACCATTGAAGTTTCTATAATTTTCTTCCTCAAAATCCACTTATATGGTAGTAAAAGGATTTTTTAATGAACTATATATCAGTAAGATCTGGATTTTTTTTTCTTTCTTTTTTTTCTTTTTTTTTTTTTTTGCGGTACGCGGGCCTGTCACTGCTGTGGCTGCTCCCGTTGCGGAGCACAGGCTCCGGACGCACAGGTTCAGCGGCCATGGCTCACGGGCCCAGCCGCTCCATGGCATGTGGGACCTTCCCAGACCGGGGCACGAACCCGTGTCCCCTGCCTCGGCAGGCGGACTCTCAACCACTGCGCCACCAGGGAAGCCCTGGATTATTTTTTCATTCAAAGCATAAGTGAATAAAATTTTAGAAAAAAATCACATAAATACAATACTAAGCCAAGCCTGAGTTAAGATGGTAAATCTCCTTGTGTCAGAAGTTGAAATGGTCATCAGAGTCAGAGGAATAAGTGCACAGGTCAAGGGTGAGATGGACTGAGTGGGTCATGATCGTAAATACAGGAACTAGGCCCTGAGAACCATGGTCTTATCACCTATGTGGATACACGGCCTTGGGCCTTTGAGAGTTGGGCACCTGTATCCACATCCCTTGTTGGTGTATGGTGAGATGGGAGCTCAATGATTCCACAAAAATGTCTTTATTTTAAAAGCAATCCAGTGTCAAAATGTTAACATGTGAAAATCTGAGTGGTCAATACACAGATGGATGTTACATTATTGTTCGTATTTTTCTGACTGTTTAAAATATTTCATAAGGTAAAATGAGGTTTTAAATAAATCAATTATTTGGGAGATTTGCTTTGAAAGTTGGCTTATATCTCTGGCCCAGACCTTTTTCCTTATATATCAAACTGCCTACTCATATCACCACACATATCTAAGGGATATTTCAAAGTCAACATGCTCAAAACAGCATCCCTGGTTCCTAACCTCCCCCCTCATGACCACAGAATTCTTCCCCATTTCTGCTTTGCCCCAGAACTCTGGAGTTATCTTTGATTCCTTTATCTCCCTCATACCCCTCACACCCCACTTTATTACATCATGCATTCATCTCCATCAATAATATCCTAGCCTGAGGAACCATTCCCTCTTTCCTGGCTTATTGCGATAGTCATCTCTTATGTGATTTCTCTGTTTCTATCCTTCCTAACCTCTCCCAGTCTATTTTCAACATATTTGTAGAATGAGCCTTTAAAAACTCATGTCAGACATGTACTTCTCCTGCTCGGGGTCCTGAAATGAATCTTTCTTTTGCTCAAAATAAAAGCCAAGGGCTTCCGTGGTGGCGCAATGGTTGGGAGTCAGCCTGCCGATGCAGAGGACGCGGGCTCGTGCCCCGGGCCGGGAAGATCCCACATGCGGCGGAGCGGCTGGGCCCGTGAGCCATGGCCGCTGAGCCTGCGCGTCCGGAGCCTGTGCTCCGCAACGGGAGAGGCCACAGCAGTGAGAGGCCCGCGTACCGCAAAAAAAAAAAAAAAAAAAAAAATAGAAGCCAAACCCCTTACAATGTCCCTTAATGCCATGAGTAATCTGGTAGGTGTGTTAATTATCTTGATCTTGATAATCACTGCATAATATATGTGTATATCAACTCATCATGTAGTATACTTTAAATTTATATAATTTTATTTGTCAATTATTCCTCAATAAAGTTAAAGAAGAATAAAGAAAATAAATAAAATTATGACCAGTGAGGTCATTAGTCGTGTAGGAAGGAATCACTTAGAGAAGTGGAAGTGTGCGTGTTGATGTTATTTACTGGGTAACCATGAAATCAGGCTGTCTGGTTAGTGTGGAAACCAGTCTGTGTGGGGGCGACTGGGAGACTTCATCTGACTGTAGAGTCCCCGCAAGACAAATCGGGGACTTGGAAATGTATCTGGCTTCCTATGCACGCATAATAGGGAGAACAGAAAAGAAGACAGACTTGAATAGAGCTGGGTGTTATGAAACCCAGAAGGATAGAAGAAAAAGAAGACAAAGAACTAAGGTGATGCTTCTAGGCTTGTCCAGTAGTATTTACCAAAGCACAGTTCATCCAACATTGGCATTGTCGGGCTTCCCTGGTGACGCAGTGGTTGAGAGTCCGCCTGCCGATGCAGGGGATGCGGGTTCGTGCCCCGGTCCGGGAAGATCTCACATGCCGCGGCTGGGCCCGTGAGCCATGGCCGCTGAGCCTTCGCATCCGGAGCCTGTGCTCCGCAATGGGAGAGGCCACAGCAGTGAGAGGCCCGCGTACCGCAAAAACAAACAAACAAAATTGGCATTGTCATCATAGGTGGTCCTTAATAAAATGCAGATTTTTGGTACCCAGACAAGTCATACTACATTAAAATAACTAGAGCCTGATTCCATTTATCTGTCTTTTTAACTCGATTCCTATATGATTCTTAAAATCCAAAAACTATAGTTATGAGTTCATTAACTTCTTCATGAGGAAGGATTTGTGAATACATTAGGAAATGTATCCTACTCTTAGGTATTTAGGTGCCAAGGTCAGTTGAGAAAAAAACCTGTATTTTATTTACTTGTAGTGTTATTCTGATTAATTGAAGTTAACTGTATTTATTATTCTAAATGTCTGAATTTGCTGAATCCCTTCACGTTCTGTAACACAGACACAGCTGAACTACGTGATCCCAATAACCGGGGATGATCTGGATGTCCGAACTCTTTATTAAGTTTGCCAGACAACTAGTTGAATAATACATGGTTCCCAGGTACATTGATGGGAGAATCGGCGCTATACGGACTGATTCTCCATATAGCGCTGTATAGCGCTCCGTATAGCTCCCAAAGGGGAGCTCAACGATCAGGACTCACCTCCTGTTTTGTTATAGAGCTCACGGCAGAGTTTTTCAGCCACGTGATGCAGAGTCTCTGCAAGCTTCCTTTTCTGAGTCTGGAGAGATTGAAGCTGTCGGGAGAGATTCCCCAGCCTTTCTTCCTTTTGAGAAATGTTTTCTTGCTGAGTGTTGGAGAGCTGGTAGAACTGAAAAACTAACCCAATTTACCAAGTCAGACTGGACACCTTATATTCTTCACTTCTATTTCTATTTTCTACATCTGGGGAAGACAGCAACAGTATGTTATTTAAGATTCCAGGCTCTGAGCGCATTGCCTACACTCAGGTTTGGACTATAGTACATAATAAATTGTATTGCCTTGGGCAAATTGATTTCTGTTTCCCTATCTGAAAATATGGAGTCATAATGACAATTCCTGACTTCAGGGATAAATTCCTTAACCATATTTACTGCTCAATAAATCTTTCTGTGTACACTGTCAAACCGTTACTCAACCTAAAATCATAAATCCATTTATCTATTGATCGGTATATTGACAATGTACCATATATTGTTATCCCATTCAGTCACTGAAAGAGTCATGTTATTGTTTCTATATTTTTAAAGTTTTGCAATTGGGCTCAGTGAGAATAGGTAACTTTCTCAACATCACTTGGCTAGAAAATTTCAACACTTAGCTTGAAACTCCAGGTTTCTAAATCTAAGTAAAAAAAATTCTTCATGAATCATGAGAGTTGCTTTCTACCACTAAAAAGAATGGTTTATGCAAACGAACAGTTATATCAAAATGAAGTAAAAATTTGGGAGCCAGGGTAGAAACAATAAGATACATTTTTTTTTTAATTTTAAAATTTAAGATTACAAACAAGTTCTAAAATGTCCTATAAAAAAATCCAATTTTGACATTTGAACCTGCTTTTCTATGTGCTCTTTTACCTTGAACCACCTTCTTCAACTGTTCAGGACATATTGCTGTAGGGTCCCATCTGATGAAACCCATTTACTCACTTCCTTTTTAAGTTTTTTACTCTGTCCTTACTAGTTTGAAATTTAAAGACTTTATACGTGAATTCTTCCTTATTTGATTTTCATGAGTCTTTGCAAAATGATTCTATAACTTCCTGGACTTTTTGAAAAATATTACAGTGATTAAGACCTGGTCTATTCTCCGTATATTGAGGGGGTGGGAAATCTTTTCCTCTGATTAGCCCACTGAGCCGTGAATGCTAAAAGCAAAAACCACAGCCGCTGTCGTCTTTTGTGGCATGGAAGAGGGCTGAAGTATGCATTCATTAAAAACTGCTGATGTTAAATATTGATATATAAACAAACAACAATATTGATATATAAACAAAGAACAAAAACCTTCTTATCTCAGAATGTAAAAGTCTAGCTGGTAAGTGACTGTTGTATTTTAATGTTTCTTCCACTATGCTCGTGATTTACAGAGTTGCATTAGAATAAGGTACATCATTTACAGAGTTGCATTTCAATAAGGACTTATTCACAGGCTCCAGAATCAAAGTAAAAAAAGAAAAAAAAAAGAATATCATAACAAGTATTTCTCATCCTAGACAAACCTTGGAACCAGGATCTTCCCCCAAGTCAGAGTGCAGACTTACACACAAGCCCCAGAGCTGCCAGGCTAATCAGCAGCACCAAACACAGAGTCAGCAGGATCAGGGCCACTGGACGCCAAGCGGAAGAGGGACGCCGGGGCTCTGCAGGGGACAAAAGAAAAGACACTCTTCTTCCTCTTGGATCTATGTCAGCAGCAAGCTAGTGAGAGGAGTTGGTTCCAGAAAGGAGCAAAATGTACAGGACAACAGTATTCAGGGGCCAGATAACATTCCCTCTGTCCTAGGAAACACTGTCACAAGGCTCCACGCCAAGCCTCACTTACCACGGCTAGCTTCTTTCACAAGCCCCATCCACTCCTACCCTCCCCATCCACCCAGTCCTACTTTGCACTGAATCAAGTTATGCATTACCATCATCTCCATACGGCTATTCGTATAACCTTTCTGTCAAAATTAGAGTTGTAAGAGACTCTCACGAAAATGCCTTAACAAAGAACACTTTTTCACATCGTCAGAGAAGAGGCGGAATTAATTTGTTGTTATGTTTTGCAAAACGCCCCCCTCCCATATGGTTCTTCTGAAAAAGCAAATTGCCTATCAGTAATGAGAAATGATTGCTTTACTGTTTCTTTTGGGGGATTTCTTTGTCAAATGTCTCTCTCTTGTAAGGATTTTGTTTGCTCATTCATTTGATTTTATAGCTCCAAAAATAGATTATAAAAGCAACACGATCATCAGTTTCTCAAGGATGGATCTAAGTGATCTCAACTTTGTACCTGTTAAGTAAAAAAAGAAAAAAGAAAAACTGTAGCCAGCATCCTTCCTTTGCCCACGCCCCACGGGTTTGCGTTGTGGTGACTGCAGAGGCTCTGCTGGGTCGAGAGTAAGCCCATCACCTAGTGAGGTCAACTATCAATCTGAATAGCCCGCAATATCTGATCAGGAAGACCCTCAAACAGCTGCAGGTATCCTGTAGCATTGTGATTAAAATAAAGGGACAGTAAAACTCTCAAACAAACCCTGGTCTCTTCGTGACCTGTGAGTTTCACTTCATTGGGAATTCAAGTCTGGTTCGAAAACAGAAAGATTAAAGACACAGAAATTCATTTCCTCTTTAGCAAAGTCCTCTGTGTGATAAACTTCAGGTACAGAAATTTGTGCCAAACATCATTTCCAAATGGGGAATGAGAACTAGCAAAGATAGTATAGAAATAGAAAATATGATCACTATCCTCTGAGACTTACAATCTAACAGGGAAAATAAGTAAAAATCAGGATACAGACATTGATATATTTTAAAATGTGAATCTTTTTTTTTTTTTTTGCGGTACGCGGGCCTCTCACTGTTGTGGCCTCTCCCGTTGTGGAGCACAGGCTCCGGACGCGCAGGCTCAGCAGCCATGGCTCAGCAGCCATGGCTCACGGGCCCAGCTGGTCCGCGGCACGTGGGATCTTCCCGGACCGGGGCACGAACCCGTGTCCCCTGCATCGGCAGGCGGACTCTCAACCACTGCGCCACCAGGGAAGCCCCTAAAATGTGAATCTTATTTTCACTTTATAACCATATCCTTCATAAAGACTTTCAATAGTGTGCATTATTTTTAGAATAAAATCTACATCACTTTTCCTAAGACCCAGATGGCTCTTTTTTTAAAGTGGACATTTTATTATGGTACGTTGTGATTTAAAAACTGCCTGTAGTTTTACTGTACTTAGAATAAAATTCTACAAGAATCTTTTTCACCTGGGCCCTACTTAGGTTTGTCATCCATTTCTGAACTATTCTTCTCTCACTCAAATGCTGTAGTCACAGTGGGCTTCCGTTTATCCTTGATCTAAACAAGTGTGTCCATGTCTTGGTACCTTTGCATTAGCTCTTCCTATACCCTTGCATAATCAGTCCTCAGATGGTTTATTGCTAGCCTACTTCCTGTTACCCAGCTTTCCACTTAAATGGCGCATCGTTGGAAGATGTCCTTGGAAGTCCATTTCTAGCACATCACCGCATTATGTATGCTTTTTAAAAATAAGATTATTAAGTGATATTTCCATGGTTTTTCTTTGTTTCTGTCTATCACCTCCCCTTGAATGTACATTCCATTGAAACAATGATCTTGTCTATCTTGTTCACAGTGTATTTCCAGTACTGAAAATAGTGTCTGGCAAATAAGGGCTGAATACATATTTGAACGAGTGAATGAATGAAGAATGAAATTATGAAAAATTAATATTACCTAACTATGTAATTTTTACAGAGGCACAGAGCTTTGTGGTGATTGCAGAAGCTCTGCTGGGTCAAGAGTAAGCCCATCACCTAGTGAGGTCATCTAAAATAACCTAGTGAGGTTATCTAAAATTAAACTTTACAGGTTGATTTTTTTAAAAAATCTATTGACTTTTCAGCAATATTTCTGTCAGCACAGGGCCGACTCAGCTAAATTCCTGGCCAAACTGGTTTCTATACACTGACTTATGTGAGATTCTGAATCATAAACAGATATAATAGAGATCTGCTTTCTCCCCTATCCTTCCATTAGCTGGCTTATCTGATTTGGCCTAAATTTTTCTGGAAATTGCTAGCTTCTCACAGCATTGTCCTTAAGAATATCTCAAATCAGCAGAACATAAAAGAATAAGATCACAGAGCAGAATATAGCTTAAATTAGACATCCTCTCCAAAACCCTACGTCTCTTTAAAGTTCTATATAGCCCAAGAAAATTAACCAGGTGGATGTTTCTAGACTCCAGAGGAAAGTACATATATAGACCCACCACCATGGTAGCTTTATTTTCTCCATCATCTGTTATTACCATCAAATATACTCTATATCTTACTTATTTGAGTAAGTCTCCTGTCTTACTCCAGGAGAAAATTGAGTAAGTCTCTTGTCTTACTCCAGGAGAAAATAGCTCCTTCTTGGAAAAGACTATTGTCTGTTTAGTCACTAGAACATCAGTTCCAGCACCTAGAACATCAGTTGAAATAAGTTCAGTTAAAATGGAATGAATGAATGGGTTTAGTATGTATAAATATCTGTTATATACTTGGCTCTTCCTGCTGAAACCTATTCATATTAATACACATCTCAAAGGCATAAAATTTTAAAAGATCCTGTCCCTTTTTTATGATTAACAATTCCCCAGCCAAAATTAGAAATAAGAAGAAAGTAAAGGAGAAGAAGAACTATGTAAATCAACCAACTCATTTATACCTCCAGAAACCCACTTTTCCTTGTATAATATTTGGGGCAAGGGAGATGTTGATTTTCTGCCCAAAGGATCAACAAGAATGGACTTAAATCCTTACTGTGAAATGAGGGGATGGAATTTAGGGATTAGAACATTATTTAATAATAATTATATCCATGCAAAGAATAAATACATGATCCTTCCTAAGGCTGCCTCTAGGACATAATAAGAAAGAAGTGTAGTGTATCTCTGCTAAAGGACACAAAGTTTTAAAAGTTCCCTTCTAAAGAATTATCTTTCCCTGATCATTTGGAAATGTCTTTACCTGGACTCTCCTCTCTCTACCTCTTCCTTGCTCCCTGTCTCCTTCCCTCCCTGCTTCAATATTCACAAGCCCTCCTGCTTTAACTAAAGACCCAGAGAAACACAACCCTAGGGAGTTTCTACAGCAGGTGTGACCGTTTCCTAGGAAACCAGGCTTCCAAGATGGAAAGGCTATATAGTGTTGAAAGTTTTATTTTTTCCTTTTCTTTGAAGCTGTATTTCCCTCTAGGTATTTTCTTTTCTGACTGTGGGTTTACCGTTCCTGAGTTTTATTCCAAGTGCCCTGATCATAATGAGGTCTCTCTCTAGGGACCACTCCCACCCTAAAATAAGAAAAAATAAGCTGCCTGGGAGGTGCTTCAGTTTGGCTTGGCTTTCTTGCGGTTTTAGTTTTTGGAAGAGAACCCCTATGCTGTCCCGAGGCATGTTTAGAAAAAGGTGTGGACGGGCCAAGGAATGATACAAAGATCCCTAGGAATAATAAGATATACATAGAAAAAAACACCCCTTTCCTGTATCCTCTTACTATAACTATACTATAAAACGCTACAGTGCTAAGGTCAAGTTTTGAATATAAATCCCTTTGTAGTTATGCGAAACTTTGTGGACGAAGAGAGTTGTCATACTTGACCAGCTGCCCTTCATCAGGCATCAGAAGGAACACTTTGTACACCTCCACTCCCAGGCCTTCTAAGAAATGAAACAAACTACCAAAGGTAGGCTATTAATATGCCTCTGAAATAGAAAGGATCGTAAAAGCTTGAAAAGACACAAAGAATTGAAATAATTTGCACAAAGCCACATTGCAAACTAGTGGCAGAGCCAGGATTAAATTGTCACGCTTAGCACCTCAGTTTGTACCTTTCCCTGTGAACCACAGCACATCAGTTTGTACCCTTCCTGTGAACCAGCCTCACAGAGACATGGGGCTAAACAGGTGACAAGGTATATAATATTTCAGAAGTGACTTGCCTCATCCTTTAGATGACTGACAACAGTTTTCAATCAGGAGACATTGCTGATTATATATCTGACTTTTGGATATATTTTTAAATGTTAAATATTGTCTTTTTAGCAACTTTGTTTCCTTAATCCTAGCATGTGGTGCACAGTAAACCTCATGGGAAAAGGTTGGAGGTTCTGTGGTTTGAGCATAGTTTTCAGTGTTCGTGAAAATGCATGTTTCCTTTCTCTTATGAATTGATTTCAAATATTTGCTATTTTCATTCTCAAAGTAAATGAGTGTTACTCCTCCTATAATTTCAACAGACTATACTTCTAAAAACATATAACCTATTTCTAGAATATCGAGTTTCTAATTCACAGCAATTAGAAAGTCAATTGTATTTTTCCTTCTCCTTTTGAGCAAAATTTACATGAGTCCATTGTTTATCCCGTCAAGGGGCTTTGTTTCTGAAACATAATTCAAAAATAACATTACTATTAATGATAATTGCTAACATTCCTTGAGTTACTGAGATACAAGCTGTATATGAATTATCTCATCGATCTTTACAAATACCTTATGAGGTAGATGCTATTATAATCCCAATGTTATAGGTAGGCAACTGAGACCTAGAGAGCTTAGTTGCCTTACCCAAGGACACACAGCAACTGATAATAGTACT